ATCCTTGGCAACATGATCTTTCTTCAGACACCTGAAGCAGCGTCCTTGTTTACGTAATTCTTGTCTCCTTTTTGCTTTATCAGTAACTACATGGCAAGTAGCTGAAGCATGTTCTCCTCTACAATAAGAACATGTTATTGATCTTGTCGTTTCACTCGTAAACAATGTGGCTGCTGTTGTGGGACTACTTTTCCCCCAGGTAAATGAAGATYTTCTTGAGTTCGATTCACTCCGTTGTCCGGAAGCCTGAACTCCAGCACACCGTTCCSGATTTTCCACTTCCTCTCTCAACAATGTCAGCAATGGATCTAACTCCCAAGTCCCTTTAATTTGTCGACTGATATTCAATTTTACTTCTTCTGGTAATTTCCTTACGATGACAGGAACGAGCAATGCTCCATAAGATGAAGTAGGTACGTCTAGTGCTTTCAAGCCGCGCACGTGCGTTTCGATCTGTTCGTAGGTTTGTCTGAGCTTGTTTACGTCGGTCGATGAATTAAGCGGAKGAATTTTCAATAAATAATCCATATGACTGCTTATTATTGTCTGTTTGTCTCCAAAACGTCGTTGTAGTAGGTCTATAGCTGTTTGGTAATTTCCTTCAGTCAGTTGAAGTCCGGAAATTGTAGAYTCAGCTTTCCCTTCCACCAACCCTTTCAAGTAGTTGAATTTGTCGATGTTTGACAGCCCGCCATTGTCGTGTACGGCGCTCTTGAAACTATCCCAAAACGATTGCCATTCAGTTGGCTCTCCTCGAAATTTCTTCAAAACTAGCTTGGGAAGTTTGGTTGCTGTAGAACTGGTTGGTGTAGAGTTAGCAGATCCGCTCGGTGCTGTAGTTTCTTTCGATGAAAGTGTTGCATCTATTTTGGCTTGTAGCTCATGAATTAATTCGGTGAATTTTCCCGCCTCGGCGATCTCGGTAAATATTTCACTTTCATTCTCAATTTTCTCCAAGATTTCGTCGTCCAATTCGTTCAGCTTCGTAATCTTGTCCTCWAGAGTTCTTTTCAATTGATTTAACTTGATGATCTGGTCATTTTGGCTATGCTCCACGAGTGTCGTCTCCRCTGTGTCTTTCAAATTCCTCACCACTAATCGGTGCCCTTGTCTAATTTTTTCCTTCTTTGTCGCCATAATTCAACAATCCGGCTCGAAGGACCATGTACGATAATTTATGAATATAGTCTCCAACTCCTGCTTTAAGATTTAATCCAAATAACGAGTTTATCCTCTTTACAATTCCGATTCTCTCTCACAACATCCTTTTYTCCAAACACATCTCTCGTGCTCTCACGKCTCTTCTCTCACATGTCACTCAAACTCCCTCCAYAGGGAGCCCAGTCCTTATMATTCTCTCACAATCGGTGCATATAATTATCAGTTGGTTCTATTCGTACGATCCGTTCGATCCGTAATTATTCGATTCGATGGGCTAGGCGCGAGCATTCATGATGAAGTAGGAACATAGCAGACTGGGCATGCATAAGAGTGAAAAACAACTTGTTGCCTTACTCTTTATTCACAGGGACTGGAGTTTTCTTTTTACTTGAAAACTTTAGAAAAAATACCAAATGGTTGACTTTACCCATAAGAGATACGAGGAGCATATCCGATAACTAGCAACGGGCCTGCAAAACCAAAATTTACTTTACATTGCAAAGGATTTGATTGTGATTTTGACTTGAGATCACGAATCGTACGAATGGATAATTAGATGCAAGGATGGTACGATCCGTACGGATCATTGGAACTACCAAAGGATGACCATAAACATTTTACACAGACGGTGACAAGAGCACTTCACGCTTGACAGGGTTACCGTGAAAGATTAAGTGCACACAACTGATGATATGCATATGAATGACTTTCACGAATCGTACGGATCGTGAGCCACACTGACGATCCGTTTCAGTTCGACAGTATTGGACATGACTGGGGATGAGGGGTACTTCAACCCTTTGACCCCTGGGCATTTTCATTAAAGGTGTTTTTTGTGTTCAGTTTGCTGGACGTAGAAAACGTATTGCAAGCCCTAGCAAAACCATATTTGGAATTTAGATTGACATTGCCTGTGTTTTAAGCAAATGAGGTATAAAGTTCGTGGTGTGATATACTAGCGAAGAAATTTTTCTTCTACCATGCACGGCARCTCAATTTGGAGGTATTTCGAAAACTGGACATTTTGATAGCCATTTTGTCCATCTATGGAGTGCTTGAGGGCATCATGAAGCCTTATATGATAGCACAATCAGCATTACAGTATCTAGAAGAACTAAAGTATGACGGGGATKTTAGTGTCAAAAGTTTGTACCCGGTACATTTTAGAATTTTTGGAGCGATTATCCTGTGATCTCGTAAATAAATGGACGGCCAGTAGCTACTTTGCCATTTTTTCGAATATGCGGCTCATGGAGAATGCTACGAGGCTGATATTTTGTTAGTAAGCTCGAGTGGCTCTATTTTGAGAAAAAAGTATAAGAACATGAGGTTGGCCATATACCCTGTCAAACATTCCTTAAATTTCCCATGATGCAATGCGATGCAGACTGGTGAAAATTGAGTAGCGATAAAATACCTCCAAAAAACGGCGGTTGTTGCCGTGTAGAAAAAATTGATGGAAAGAAAGCATTAAAAAGCAAAGCAAAAGCAAGGACGAGGTCGCAACTTCACTGTGTAAGGTAATTGATTACAAATAAAGAAATAAATGCCCCCCTTCCCGRTAAAAAAAACGGTCCCTCGTGCCACGTACTCATAGTATAACCAAAATGAGCTACTTACATGAGTAGAATTTTAAAACTAAATTGAATCTGGCTCTGCGCTTGATCTTTTGTTCGATCTYGATCGGCTTGGTGAAAGCGGACACAGATCATGCTGGAAGACAAAAAAGGAAATGAAAAAAAGGATTGAAGGTAAAGTTCTTTGAAAAATTAGGAAAATCATAAAATTAAGAGATAAGAAGCAACTTGCTTGATTTCTTCTCCTGGCGTTAAATGCAGCAAGCCTTGATGTATTTAATTTTATTGTTCGTACAGGGCTTGGAGGACGAGGACTCATCATCTATAAAAAGAAGTAAACAAAAAAGGTTGCCCGAAGCCCAACTAATCAAACCAAATAAACAGATAACAGAATAAAGACTCACACGTATCCAGGAAGATCGTAAGGAATCTTGACAATCGGCTCTTGCTCTAAAAAATAAACAAATGTATGCGTCATACAGTGTATATCGTGATATAGATTTGTATATACCGCTACACGGATGTCTCAATAGACTTTTTCAATGTAGTTTATTATTTTAGTATAACTTAATTTTAGTTTCATTTTAATATAGTGTTTCTCGTCCTGTGATTGGTCGAGCGAAMAGCGATTCTGAGAAGATAACCACTGCTCGAGCGGTGATTGTAAAGGTTTTACAAAGTTTGCCAGAGTGGAAGTAATATTAAGAGGTATTTTAATTTTATTTTACAAGGAGCTGTTCCCAGTCGTATTGGCCGCTCATAATTGGGGCCATGGATGGTCTAAGCAACAAATCTTATTCCGCTCAGACAACGAGGTGGTAGTGGCCATCTTAAACCAGCAAGCCTCTAAAGTGCCAGACCTAATGCCGGTTTTGCGGAACCTTTGGCAAGCAGCAGCTCGCATTAGCTTTTCATTCTCTTCTCAGCACATCCCTGGAATTTATAACTTGATTTCTGACGCCCTGTCCCGTTTAAATTGGAAGGAATTCAGGCGGGTAGCTCCATTTGCTCAGAAGCATCCCACTCCAGTTCCTCTGCAGCTGATTAATTGCAGGATTAACCAGTCCGTATTATAACGTTAGTGCCAATAATTGTCACTTAGTGGTCTGGCGCCCAACACTCACCGCACGTATGCCTTCTGCTCAATGTAAATTTATTGACTTCCGTAATCAACTGTGTACAGCACCGTGTGCTGCGCAGGAGAGAACACTGTGTTTATTCATTACATATTTGTCGCAATCGATCCATCAAAGTATACATGTCGGCTGTCCGTTCCCTCCACATCGAACGGGGCTTCTCAGATCTAAATTGTTGTAGGTTACAAAAGKTTTTCCGTGGCATTAATTAAACGCACACAAGGTAATTTCTCATCTCAATCTTCCAATTACCAATTCCCTGATGCTAACCATATTCCAAGCATTTTCGACCACACCATGTTTTGGGCTGCATGCACTTTGGCGTACTTTGGTTTATTGAGATCTGCAGAGTTCACCGCGCCTAATGTAGCAAACTTCGACGATTTGGAATGTTCCTTCATGTCTTCACGCATGGATTAAGGCATCAAAGGCAGATCCCTCCCGCAAAGCCTGTCATGTTCATATTGGGWGTGGCTCCGCACCACTTTGAGCGGTATCTGTTATGTCGTCGTATTTAAACAAGAGAGGTGGTGGTCCAGGTCCGTTATTCCTGTTTCAAAATGGTCAAGCACTTTTCAGAGATGTATTGTCATCCGGGCTAAGAAGTATTCTTGGTGGCGCAGGATTCCCGGGAAATTTCTCCAGCCATAGTTTCAGGATTGGAACTGCTGCAGTGGCTGCGCGATATGGTGTTCCCGATCATCTTATTCAAGCGCTAGGCTGGCTTTAGGCTGGCACTGATTAGATTCACCTTCTCATATAACTCGCTTATAATGTACTCACATCCATTATCCAAGTCATTTGACAGCGTTTGTTAAGCTCAAGTAATCGCTGTTAACTTTTTCGTCGTAATTTCGTGTGTCTGGCTATTACRTCAAAGACTCAAGTCGGGTTGCTTAAATAATTAAAACGAGTTATGCTAGGCCCCGTTTTTCGCTTGTTGCTCGAGTGGACTGTTGCTTGATTCATTTCGGTGAGAGATCCCTGTTCCCTATCCTCCAAGCACCTTGTAGAATATTTTGGTTGTGTTATGTTCCAGGTCCCTCTTGGCACCTAACACCAAGCTCATTTGCCAGTGATGAGTTTAAATGTAGTTAAATGAAATTTAGGCAAAGATAGACTCGATCTGAGTAGCAGCGAATAGTCTACGATAGCCGCTGTTTCCATTTATTGTCTATCACAATCACAAGCTATTCTGGTGATAACGATAGCATTCTTTTTGGTCATCAGAAGGGCTCAGATATTTGATCGGTAATTACCGCGATATCGATCATTTATTGCTAATGGGTCGACTCACGCTATCCATGTGATCACACTAACTTGACCTTAAATTCGGCCAACAATTGTTTGCATTACGATATTCGCTATCGCTAGCCTTTGGCAACCATACGCTAAACGCTATATTTGTTTTTTCCCGTCCTCCCTCCCTATAGTAGGTATATATAAGTAAGTATTCCACTGATCAGACCGTCAGTGTGACAGGTGCACGGCGGGTTGTGACAGGGTTGCCATGGTTACCGCGATTTTATGTGCTAGGCCCCTCTCATCCTACCGAAAAAGCAYCTAACGCCAAGCCCATCTACTAGTGATGAGTTTAACAAAGTTTGCCAGAGTGGAAGTAATAKTAAGAGGTGTTTTTATTCTGAATTTTGATWTTTCTTGGTTTTCACTTGCGTCGGAGGATCTCGGAGTCGCAGTCATAAGCAGTTAATACAAGTGAAAATTGATCGTCATAATCGGAATCGAAATGGGAAACAGAAGCCATTGAAGAGAGCCTGGAGAAAGTATTGTGATTGGTTGTCTGCTTTTGCTTCCGATTCCAATTTTCTARTTCTCACTCGTTCGAGTCCCAACGAGCTCGGTGTTGTATGTAAGTTGAGTTGTTTATTGGTTCTCTCCTGTGCTTCGAGGGTTTTCTGGGTTCTCCGGTTTTCCTCCGTCCGTAAAAACCAACTACTAAATTTCAATTCCATTCTAGGAAATGCTGACGATAGGGCTAACCTCAGTATCTCCTTTCACACTAACTGATGCGAATAAATTGTGTTTAATTTACTTCAGCTCGAGTTTTTCGACCAAAAACGCGGTCTTTCCCAGATTTAAACCCACCAGGCAAATTAAAGAAGGAAGTTTTTATGTGTACTCCCACATAGTCAAACATGTGAATACCCCTTTGTTGGAATTTGCCTAATCAGCTTTGAAATCATGCTTGTCTGTGGGGTAACACCTTCATATCCATCAAAGATTTGGGAAAGCGGTATTCAATCATCAGAAAAAATCAGTTAACATTTGGTCAGCTACGATTTCAAGCTCACGCCCCCTCATGTGAGCCCATCATACAAATTATGTCTCAAAAACACGGTTTTTTGATCACGGTTAACCACGGTAGTTAGCKAAAGGACAGAAGATTAACGGGTTATTTAGGATGTTTTGTCACGTAGTTTACTTGTGCTATATAACTTTACTTTTAAGAACGACCCTTTGCTTTGGAAAGAGAGGAAAAAGACCGAAAAGAGCAAATATTTCAAATGTATGGGCAATCTTTTCCAATGGTGACTGATTTTCAGAAATTAACGACCGATTTCAAACTATAACCTAAAAGATATTTCACTGCAACTCAGAGTCCGCGGAGCATATTGAAAAATGGGGGGTGGGGAGGGGGGCTGGCATTTGAGAATTAAGCGTGTTCTAGATCGGATTTCGGGAGGAATAACGTTTTTTATTAACATTTGTATTTTTGGCGCAAAAAGTGGGGGGCCGGCTYCGCGGTCCCTGTAATCCTAAAAGATACTTCGCATTGACTTTCCTTCTAGGACTCTTTGGACATCCTTCTTTTGTTTGCTGGATTTAAATCTAACTCAGAGACCGCGTTTTTAGTCGCAATTGAAATCGAGCTGAAGTAGAGTGACTTAGAGTTGGAATGGACCGATCGCTAAAAATCGCTAAAAAACCCACTTAAAGTCGAAAACTTTTGTTTGAGACGATAAGTACAGTTCTTTTTTTTATATACTCGAAGTTTTATTTCCAAAATTTTAGCGAGACCCACACAATTTTAGCAAAATCTATTTACTACATACATTTTCTTATAAAAGTGGATAGCCTGGGTTACGTGTGCGTAAAATAGCCTCATTTGGCAATTTGAACAGTTAAAAAAAATTCAAATCAGTTTCAACTTACACTTGATTATTATTTGTTTTAGGCTCATAGCGTTTTAAACATTCAGATGTCAATTCATGTAAGAAATTCCATTAAAGGTGGCAAGCTTTACTCTTGGCAGTGCATTCCGTAATCAATTAGATCCGGATTTTCCACTCCGTCGCCTCCGGAGCCAAAGGGGGTACTTTTTAAGTCGTGGATACGCGAAGCGTAGAAACTAGTTATTGTGAGGTGTCTGAATATGCAAATGTGTCACTCGCTCACTCACTAAGATGTGAGCAGATCGATAATTAAACGTTTGTCAATCATCTTACGTCATCTCATTACGATCGTTGCACGACAATAGCAATCATAAAGCTCTTATACAATATAGATTACTTTGATATTTAATATGAGGAAATGAAATGCTGATGTTCCATGTGAGCAGCACACTACCTGAACAGACCATATTGAAGCCTTTGTCTGTGCGGATCCCCAATTCCTACCAGGATTCGTCGCGTTACGTGTGCTGCTGTGCTGGGTCGTAGAATCCGAGCAGGGAACTATAGATGTAGCCGAGACTTGCGTTGGTAGCCGAAACAGTCTGCTGACCTATTGTGTTTAATATTCTGTATAGTATAATCAACGCTACGCTACATATTAACGACCCTGATATCCGACGTTTGTGAAAAAGCCTTAAGCGAGGCATGGAATATAGCTTCACTACCTTCACCGAGCCAGAAAACAACAACGAGATTACACTAGACCGCGCTGAACAGATAATCGACAACTTGCCCGAGGGAGACTTTCATTTGCAAGTAACATTTATCAAACAGTGGCCAGATACCGAAGAGTGGTACGCTGAACGTGGATACAAGCTTGTTCAACATAGGAAAAATACTTATGTATTGAACCGCAATAGTAGGCTTGGAGATTTAGTGGATTTAAGTACTACAACATTGGCTATCCCTACACCGTCGTGATATACGAACTACTAAGGATGGCAGAGCCGAACATGGAAGAGCTACTGCCCTTGCGTACCCCGGGAAATTGCGTTGCTAACTTAGTGCGTGAATTCTTTAAAGATTCTACCCGGGGCGACAAGCTAACCGAGAAGCGGGAACGTACCATATCTATTTGGGAAGCCCAAGTACCCGATGGAGCTACCGAAAAGGATGTAGC